TCGTGCTGTTTACCGGAGCCGACTGATCCAAATTCATGTTGTCTCCTCCTCCTTGAGAGGGGTTTTGATGGAGCGGAAGCTACTACAGATAGAACTAGATCCGTTGATTCTGAGAATACCCAGAAACTAGGGTTTGTGAATACTCTTCATAATGGTTTATGAGAATCTCTTTTAGGAAATCTTCTTTTTATTAATTCATCAAAGTCTGAATTACAATGAGTGCATAAACAGCTTATTTATGATAAATCATAAAAACGTAGAATATTTTAGAAAGCTCTAAATAATAATTTATAATTATCTAAATACACAAATAAGTAAATAATAAAGATATTCAAGATATTTGAAAATATTCCAAATATCACGCTGCATCAGGTCTCGCCGGCTAAGAATGATTCGCCCTCGAATCTTCAACCAGTTTTTCCACATCGATTTAATGTCTTCTTGTAGATAATACACGGTTTTAGCACAAACCGGACTTTGTACAAAATTTGCACAAACCGAATCCACACCGATTTTGCACGAACCGAACTCATCACTCATCTCCTTCTCTTGCGACCTTGAAAACTTTCGATCCTGCCCGAAGTTTGCACGGATCTTGATCTGCACGATTTTCGCACGAATCCGATCATGCACGATCTTCGCACCAACCGGATTTTGCACGAAGCTTACACCAATCTGACTGCGCACGGATTTTGCATGCCTCAGATTTTCAAAGGAACCTTCTATAAAGATAAAATCGATAACATCAACGTCATCTTCATAGACGTCGTAGATTGGATCACCATAGATTTTTTTATAAATCTCATGACTCTTTTCTCTCTTGACACAAGGACTTTCATCCTCGAAAATGTAGATACAACTATTCATCATGATCCAGAATCGTTCTTCGATTAAGAAATCAAAGAAACCTGTCTCTGATACCAACTGATGGAGCGGAAGCTACTACGGATAGAACTAGATCTATTGATTCTGAGAATACTCGGAAACTAGGATTTGTGAATACTCTTCACAGTGGTTTATCAAAACCTCTTTTAGGAAATCTTCTTTTTTATTAATTCATCAAAGTCTGAATTACAATAAGTGCATAAACGGCTTATTTATAATAAATCATAAAAACTCTATAATATTTTAGAAAGCTCTAAATAATAAATAATAATTATCTAAATACACAAAATAAGTAAATAATAAAGATATTTAAGATATTTGAAAATATTCCAAATATCATGCTGCATCAGGTTTTCTCAATCTGACTGATCTTTTCCGGGGATCCAGCCTCTTTTTTTCTTTTCTTGTGTGGTGATCTCCTCCTTTTTATACTCGCGGTCTCCCTGTCCTGTCTTTTCTATCCGGCGCGCCAGGGGAGCAGATAGGGATAATAATTCTTGCGTGTTTGAAAAGTTTGCCAACTGCCTCCGAATAGTATGCGGGAGTGGGTCAGCCGAGCTAGCGTGGCGTGTGTTAGTGTTTAGGGCAGCCTACAGGCTCTCTCTTGATCTGGTAAAATCGGTCCCAACAATATCTATATCTTTTCACTGAATATTTTTATTTAATTGAATTTTTTATGTTGCCTTTTTTCGAGATTAACAAAATAAATTCACCAAATCAAATACTTTCTTTATTTTTTGATTGAAATAACATTCTAGTTTTTGTATCTATGGACAATTTACAGTTTTTTATAGTATGTAATATAAATATTTATTTTTATTTTTAAATTATGTCATATACATGTCTAAAAAATATGTATATTAAACTCTATAAAAGATAAAAAAAAATCAGATTATTTATAGTCTAGGTTGTTTGTAAAATCTATATATACAAAATATATAAAAACTCATAAAATTAAATTTTGAAAGCCGATTAAAGAAATAAAATAATTTCATTAGAGAGATACTATGTATTTATCCGCGCTACGCTGCGAGATATTTTTCTATATTTTGTATATATTTTTAATATAATAAAATTATTTTTATAATATAAATGAATATTATATTTATTTTTTATTAGCTTAAGTTATGTATTTATATGTTTTAAATTTGAATAAACATTATATATCCTTAATTTTTTTATTTTTCAAAATTATAATCTACTATCAAATTTGTTTAGCTAACTATCTATAAATGTATATGTAGGAATAAAATAATACATTTGTAAGTACCTTCATGCTAATGGCAAATGTAATTTATTTTCTCTACTAAATTGCCACTTGGTGCTCTTTTGAAATTATATAAAGCAAATTGCCATTTAAAAAAATAGTAACTAATATTATTATTTTGTTAAAATTTATTTATTTATCAAATATTTATTATAAACATATGTTTTTAAAACTACCAAACTATAGTCAATAATATTCATATCAAAACCATAACTATTGCTTTAAAATTAAATAGAAAGTTCTGTTTGAACTGTTGAAATATCAATTTAGTTAAAGTTAAATAATTCAATTTTGGATACTATAAACATTTTTTAACTTGAAAATTTAGCATAAATAAATTTTATAAATAAATTTTATCTTTTTACAAAAACGGAAAAATTGCATTTTCCGACAAAACAAAAAAAATATCATTTTCCCACGAAACTGAAAAATCGCCTATTCCCGCCAAAACCAAAAAAATTCATTTTTTCTTCAAACCTAAAATTTCATTTTCCTACCAAAACAAAGAAATTGCATTTTCCCGCAAAAACAAAAAAAAATTACATTTTCCCGCTAGAATCTGTGTTTTCACGCCAAAACAGTGAAATCAAGTTTTTTCACCAAAACCAAAAAAATTAATCTTTCTGCAAAAACTAAAAAATCATATTTTTCCGTCAAAACCGAAAAAATTATTTTCCCGCAAAAACCGAGAAATCGTCTTTTCCCGCCAAAAACAAAAAAAAAATTTCGTCAAACCAATAATCACGCATTCCTACTAAAACCGATAAACTACCATTTCCCGCAAAAACCAAAAATTGCATTATCTCCTGAGAAATGGCGTTTTCCGCGAAAACTAAGAAATCGCATTTTCCCGCGAAAACCAAAAAATCACATTATATGTCAAAAACTGAAAATTTGCATTTGCCATCGAAACCGATAAATTGTTTATTCCCGCCATAATCGAGAAGTTTTGTTTTCCTATCAAACTGAGAAATTTCATTTTCCGCCAAAATTGTCAAATTAAAATTTTCCGCGAAAATGAAGAAATCACATTTTCCTGCGAAAACTAAGAAATCACATTTTCCTGCGAAAATCAAGAAATCACATCATCCATCAAAAGCCGAAAATTGCATTTCCTATAAAACCAAGAAATCGTATTTTTAGTCAAAATTAAAAATTTGCATTTCCCTCGCATTTTCTCGTCAAAACTAACATATTTTGTTTTCGCATCAAAATTAAAAAACAAATTCTCACCAAAACAAAAAATTCACATTTTTTCGCTAAACTCGAGAATTTGTTTTTTCTGCCATAACCGAGAAATTATGTTTTTCTACCAAAACTGAAAATCACATTTTCCTACCGAAACCAAAAAATTCTCTATTCACGCCAAACCCAAAAAAAATTGTTCTCGGTGACCACCGGAAATGCGAATCTCCAAGCTATGGTGGTCTGAGCTTCTCCTCATTTGCTTTTGACTTCCATTTTTTTGTAAACTTTGGGCTTTTTAATGGGTCAGCAAAATAGTAAACTGATTTTATTAGTGTATTAATGATATGTATGATTGTTATGTTTTTATTGGTTCAAATTTTTGCAGATGTGTGAGTTTCTTATAACATAACGTTTTTTTGCGTTGTTGTTATGGAAGCATAGTTGATGATGAGTCTACACTTTCTTCAATCATATATGTCTCTATCAAGCAAACACATAGTTAGATTTTTTTTTTTGCTGTTATTTATTATTTGAATTTCGGTTTGGCAAAAATATAAAACAAAGATTTAATTTTTTTATTTGTTGTTATTTATTATTTGGATTTGGGGGTGGTAAAAAATAAAACAATTTTTTTTTATTTGCTGTTATTTATTATTTGGATTTGGGTTTAGCAAAAAATAAAACAAAGACTAACAAATAAAAATATTTGAGTTTTTAATGGGTTTAAATTAAAAATAATAAAAGTTAGTTGATGATGTGTATTAATAAAATGTTTTGATTGGCGTTTTTTTTTTGCTGAAGAGTCAACTTTATAAAGTTTGAAAAAGCTGATGTGTCATCTCCCGGAGAAATACTTGTGTTATTATTGTATTGATTTGGTTAATTATATATATATATATGTGATTTTGGATATTTTAAAAATTTTGTTTTTAGGCTTTTAACTAGGGTGTTATTGTCTTTATTTTCAACCAAGTTGTTGTTTCTCATTACTCTAGAAAATAAGATTGTAACAACTCCAGTTCAATTCTAATTAATAAAATCTATAGCAGCACGGAAAGTAGACATAATTTTTACGTTAAGGATGAACCACTTCAAATCGTATGTGACTTTAATTCTCATTGAGATCGATTTCGGAGAGCCTGCTTTGGAATCAAATTAATCGTAAAAACAAAAACAAAATTAAGAGTTGAGAATTTTCGGGCTAGACGAGACACTCTCAAGAAAGAGATGTTTTGTCCAAATGTGTATTCTATGGGGTTCTCTATTGAGTTTGCTGCATGGTTCATTTTAGGTAATTACGATAACAACCGTACGTATTGGGTCTGGCTCTCTATGTGGTTCTGGTTCATCATCAATCTGAAATACACATTTGATGATGAATAGTCAGAGCTTGCAAAACTATGTGGTTCTGGTTCATCATCAATCTGATTACAGTACAAACTTGTTTCTATGAAGACATGACATAAACATGAGGAGGACAGGATTCTTGAGGAAGAGACCGTCGATAAGGAAGGACAATGATGTATTGTCATTATTTTTTTTGGTTTTTCTAGCTGCATTTTTCACATGATTAATTATAGGGGTTTAGTGAAACTTTATGGAAGCTCTCTAGACTCTATATAAAGACACATATTTCTTAAACAATAACATATTAAGCTAAGAACATTTCAAGAAATAAATAATAGAAAAATATACAATGAAGTTCGACAATTGTTATTCTTCTGATATCCACGTTCTAGCAAAGGAGATCAAGAGAGAAACATATGAATTGGATAAACTTAATGTAAATCCTTACTCATATGTCTCTCCCTCGGCTTACGACACTGCTTGGCTAGCCATGATCGAAGATCTCAATGATGTCAATGCTAAAAAACCGATGTTTCCTGGTTGTTTAGATTGGATTCTGAGCAATCAGAACGCTTTGGAAGGACTATGGGGAAATCACGGAGATGACAACGGAGACGAAACTCTCTCTTCGACACTTGCTTGTGTTGTAGCACTTCGCAAGTGGAACACTGGAAGTCTTCATGTCCATAAAGGTAATTGTTACGTTGACTAGTTTTGTTTTTGAGCAATACGTTGACTAGTTTTCTACCTCGGCTTAATTTATAATCCTTTTTTGTTTGGCACGTGTTGGATGAAAACATGCATATATTACATTAATTACAGCTTTTGAAGGTTCTTTCACATGGTGTAATACTGTAATGCCATTTTCATGTGCAGAGATATTAATTAATTAAAGGTTTCGTAATAAGTGATGATCTAAAATGTAAATCTCGTTTATCAGTTTATACAGTATTACTAATCAGTTTTAGTGCGTATCTTACGCAAGATACCATTTAATGAATATATTTATTAATAGAAATTTATCACATGTTAATTTTATTAAATTTCTCCTTCAAATCCTCATTACAGTTTTTTACTTTCATATTTATGTAATAGTTTATCTGCCATGTCTTAGGAAAGAGATACATCGAAAACAGTACGGAGAGGGTTATTAGGAAATATAATAACCCAAATAAGGACTCGTGTCCACGTTGGCTCGTTCTCATGTTCACTGGACTCCTCGAGCTTGCTCAACAACTTGGCATACACTTTCTCTTCTCTACTCGAGTTAAGCAAATGATCAACAACTTGTTTTTCCAACGCCAAAAGATCTTCCACCGGTACAATAATTAATTTATCTAAACTTATATATTAATCTTTATACGAGCCAATCGATATATATATATAAATTCTATCTGTAATCTTTATATATGTATATGCAATTTTATTTGAATTAAGGGAATAATTTTTCTAGTACTGTAAAAAATATAATATACGTGTAAACGTAAGGAATCACAGACTTCTAATTTATGCAGCGAGCTTATCATCAAACCTACTAGTATAATTTTTCATTTTCAGTGTAAGTTAATTACTGACACTTACCTAATCAATTTATTGTTTAGAGAAAAGCTCGTCGATGGCCGTTGCAACCGGCAGCCTTTACTTGCATATCTAGAAGTACTGCCATCGACATTATACGCTGAAAATCAAGAAGACATAATCGAGAAACTCGACGATTTAGATGGCTCTTTGTTTCAATCACCTTCAGCAACTGCAGCAGCGTTTATCCTCTCACGCAATACAAATTGTCTGGCTTATCTTCAGTCTCTCGTACAGAGATGCCCCAATGGAGATTAATTTTCGAGTTTTTTTTTTTTTTTTTTTTGAAAACCTTGTTCTTTAAAGAAAACTGTGGTACTAAATTACTAATAGTACTTTTGTAATAAATATTTTTCTTTTTGTTTTGCTTATGGTGATTTATCTAAATACAGTGCCACAGATTTACCCCTTTTGTGAAGAACTCATCAAACTCTCTTTGGTCAATATAATGGATAACTACGGGTTAGGAGAATACTTCGGTAAAGATATTGATCATTTTCTTCTTCAAACTTACAAGTGAGGACTAATATAAAAACTCTTATGATACTTGATTTATATAATTAACAATATATATACAATAATTTGTTTAATTCTCTATTTTTTCCTTAGTAGTTACGAAATCGAGGATGACGGGAGAATGCCAATATATTCCAAAGTAGACCAGCTGCAAAATGCCTCTCTCAGATTTCGAATGTTAAGAATGAACGGCTTCGATGTTTTGCCTGGTAAAGAACTAATTCTCAAGACTTATACAAGTAAGCATAATATATACTTAATATTTTATTTTCACACAAATGTTATGCAGGGAGCTTTTGCTGGTTCTTGAATGACGAAGATATCAAAGATCATCTAGAGGCAAACATTGAATGTTCATTATTTGTGATGCTTAGTATTTACAGAGCAACTGATCTCATCTTTTCGGGAGAGGGTGAGCTTAAGGAAGCAAGAGAATTTTCGCGGAATTACTCGAAAAAACTGAATATATCAATGCAAATATGGTGCCTACTTTTCACATTAAACATGAACTGAGTACTCCATGGATGGCTAGACTCAAACATCTTGATCATAGGATGTGGATTGAGGACAAGGACTCAAATGTTATCTCAATAGGAAAAGCCTTCCCGATTCGGTATTTATTACATACATGCAAACGAATATTAGATTTAATTATATACTTTTTACAATAGCAAAGCTTACTATGTTTTTGTTTATGGCATTGGAACCACGATACACAGTATATATAGCGACAAGCTTACTCATCTTGCTTCAAGAAATTTCGAACTTCGACAAGCTGTATATAGGCTTGAGATGGAGGACTTGATAAAGTAAGTACTGAGATATGTTTTGATATTAAATCGGTTTTGTTCTTTTTTATTCCAAATCAGACTTGGAACTAAAAGTCGATCTTTTAATTTGAATCAGGTGGGTGAAGAAATGGGGACTTAACGATATCTGGTTTGGAAGAGAGAAGACAACATATTGTTACTTTGCAGCTTCATCAAGCACTTCATTGCCCTTTGAATCCGCAGCTAATGTTCATAAGCTTATGGCAAAAAGTGGCATCCTTATCACAGTTGCTGATGACTTCTTCGATGAAGAAGGTTCTCTTGATGAATTAGAAGCTCTTACTAAAGCTGTTTTAAGGTACATTAATTAACCAAACTCGGTTATGCAGGTGTAGTTACAAACAATCATAATAACCTAATTAATTAGCTACGATCCATTTTGGTATCTAATGTTGAATCTTGATTTAATAATTTTGTACGTATATATAATAGATGGGAAGGAGAAGATCTTAAAGGTCACGGAAAGATTATATTTGAAGCACTTGACAATCTTGTAAAAGAGACTGCAGAGGCTTGCCGTAAGCAACACGGGACATGCATAACAACAAACCATCTTCGCAATATCGTACGTCCAATGTTCAAAAAAAAAAAAATATATATATATATAGTATGTTTATATCATAAATTAATCATTAACATAAAAATAAGGTTAAATTCCAAAAATAAACCATTTATAAAATTATTGTTATGCTAATTATAATGTATGATATAAATAGGATTATATATTTACATTAATTTTTAAAAAAACTTATTATATTATTAATTTTTCAATTATATTTTGAACATATCTAATTCGGGACTAAAAAATTTCAAATTTTTTTATTAATTTATATAGTTTATGAGTTTATTGTTACAAAATAAATTCTTTTTTAACAAGTAAATAATAGCAGCAGCTGGTCTATAATACTGAATGTTTATTATTTGTGTGATGCTTGGTGTTTTACAAGATTCTGAGTTTAAGTTTTTTCCTAAACTAAATTTCCGTGACAGAAGTAACGAATTAAAAATAACTATGCAGTGGGGTGAAACATTTGAGTCGTGGCTACTTGAAGCTGAGTGGAGTAAGAAGGGACACATACCGTCGATGGAAGAATATCTTCGAAACGGAATGATCTCAACCGCAGCACACACCATTGTTCTTCCCATTTCGTATCTCATGGAACCTTGTTTTCCCCAACACAAACTCAAACCCGGAAACTACGATAATTTAACAACATTGCTCATGACCGTTACTCGACTCCTTAACGATCTACAGAGTTACCAGGTAATCTCAACTTTGAGTACGAATCTAATACTCGTACTTATCTTTCAATTTCTCATCTTTTAGGCTTTTGAGATGCTCTCTAGATCTTGTGCTTGACGATTAAACTTGTGATGTTGAAATTTGCAGAAGGAACAAGAACAAGGCAAGATCAACTCCGTGCTGCTCCACATGAAGAGTCATAGTGGTTTTCAGGTAGAGGAATCGATTGCTTATATTGAAATGATCATTGATTCGAAGAGGAAAGACTTTATGCAGCATGTCCTAATGGATGGATTCAGTGACTTGCCTAAACCGTACAAAGATATTCACATGTCCGTTTGTAAAGTTTTTGAAATGTTCTTCAACAAGAAGAATCGTTATGATTCAGAGACGGAGATGCTTCAAGACATTAATAAGGCTCTTTACGATCCCGTGAACATTCGTAAACTCTCCGAGCTCGATCTAACGTTCTAGTGAATTATTTATTCTAAAATTTATGTATGCATAATGCATTATATTTTTAAAAATAACCATCATAATGGCATGAAATCTTCTTTCTCACTTTTTGTAAGGCTTTTCTTTTTTTTTTGTTTTAAAAATTAGTAACAATGTAAAATCAAATATATTATAATCCATTTCGAACTATTTTCCAAAGAAACTAATTTTCGTTAAGATTTTTTTTTCTCCGGAGCTTTCTCTAGATATTAAAACAGATGTGTGTCTAATATCATTAATTGATTTAATAATAAGAAAATTAACAGTCAAAATTTGGGTGTTTTAGTAGTCAAAATTTTGGATATACCAAAATTTTTCGACGAGATTTTGGCAGAAAATTAAAAAAAAAACAATAAAAGTAAAAGAACATTGAAATTTTTGTTAGAATTCCATCAAAATTTCGCACGAATATATTGATCAAAAGTTTTTGATGAATTTCCGACAGATCATGAATCCATAAAAAATTCACCCAGAATCTGTAGAAAATTCTTCTTTTTTTGGTAATGGCATGAGCATATGTACGTATCAGTCATTGTGAATCTGGAATTTAAAAAGGTGAAAATGCTTTAAAATAGAAACGCTAAGAACCATTTATAAATCACCAATAGATAACTATATATTCCATCGTAGGTGAAATAGTCTACTATACTCATGTTATGTTGATGGGTTCTGAAAACATAATGGTCCTATTAATGGTGTGGTTTGGCATCCGCAGTTTCAGGATGGGACAACATATCTCATCAGCCAATAAGCAAATCGTCGAGACATTTACCCATTCCATCAGAACTTCATAATTTGATATGATTTCTTTTTATTTTTTAAAAAATAAAGAATAAATATACATATAGTTCTCATTTTGCCGACATATTGGATTTGACTCAAACATAAAAGTATTTCTATCAGTGGGTTTTTTTATAAGAGTATCTCCAATACTGAAATACTTTTTGAGATTCTCAAACAAAAAAAATATTATTTTAACATAGTTATATATTAGAATTAGATATTTAAATAAAAAAATTAAATTAATTTATAAAAAATACATGTTATTAGAGATTTTCACTTAAGTTTCATGAGTATCTCAAATTAGAACTTCATCTCACTTCTTTTTTTTTCTGTTATTTTAATATTGAGATACACCTGTTCAGATATACCTATTAAGGATGCTTTGAGAGCATATCTCAACTTAAAAGTAATATTAAAAAATAAAAATTATGAGAGAAAGATGAAATTAATATCTTATTTAAAATCTCTTGAGATGCCTTGAAAACCCCTCATTGCCATATGTTTTATTTTTATTAGTTTAATTATTTTTCTAGAACTAAAATTTAATCAAATAATTAAATTATATTAAAATAAAATTATTATTTTTGTTTGAGAACTCAAAAAAGATTTAATGGATAGAAATGCTTTAAGCGTGACACAAAATCAAAGGTATGATTTCGTTGAATGGCATATAGGATCGGGCTGCTGGTTGTTCAATTCTATCAGTTTCGATCAGTAAATAGACGATGGAGTGCAATGGAACAAGTATGGAATCAAAACGACTGCCTGTTCAACTCTATTCATCTTGATCATTGGATGACAATGACTTAGTAATAAGAATGGATCGATAGCCGCCACAAAGTTTATGTAGAAACTTTGATAAGACTAGTAACTCTCAAAGATTGAATCACACAAGCTTTAAGAATAACAATAAGGGTGTTTTCAAAGAAATCTAGGGTTCTTTTATTTCATTAAAGGTAAAAATTACAAGGCTGTAAGAAGAAACTGTATAACATAATCCAAACAGCTATTGCCCTTCTTGAGGTCTTTGAAACAAATTACATTAATGAAAATATAAGTTATTGGAATCAAAATAATGATAATTGGCTAAACATATGCCTTAACTACTAATGGAAAAATTAAGCGAATCAAACAAAACAATCAAGAGATTTATTAGACAAAGATAACCAAATAATTAAAATGAATTTGCACTTACCTTGGACTTTGGTGCCGTGTGTTTTGTGATTGAAATGGTCCTCGAAAGTGTTGCGTTTAGGTCATTCTCTTGAGTGTTGCGTTTTGGTCTGGTTACTTGAGTTGGGTAATGCTGAATAAGGAAACTCCTTCCTTCCTTTGAATAAGCGGCCATTCACTTGTATAAGGCATGGTTTCTATGCTTGGACCGTTGCGTATATTTGGTTGGCGCCTTTGATGCTCCTATTTGGTCTGAATAATGTAGTGTTCTTCAAGCTCAGCTTTAGCTATGGTTTCTTCTTTAGAAATACTGAGTTGATCAAGTTGAGAAGTGATGTTTTCAGGTTCTTTACTCGTGATCAATGCCTACATTGCTTGGTAGAAACTTGTAGAACTAAAGATACTTGAAAGTAAAGATGCAGTTCGAATAGGGAAGAACTTGTAACCAAAGAACTCATTTATTAGAAATCACTTAAACAATTCTTGTGAAGTTGTTTAATCAGAATAACACACCCTTACAATAATCTCAATCAACCTGTAATGTGAAACTGACCAATTCCTAATCTACCCACACAACAACAGCTGTGTTTGCTACACGAGCACCTAAACTCTCTTCCAAGGCAGAGTATTCTAATCCCCTTTTGTGCTAACCCTAACCCAAGTTCAAAGATCTTCTATTTATACTCGAACCACGCAGCGCCAGACTTCCCATTACTTGAGTATCTACCTTATTGCAAATCATCGAATATGGTAACTTGAACAATTTATTTGATTCCCACGCATATCTTTGTCACCGTTCTTCGTCCCTTGCATTATATGTGTGTAACACACTTTCCAGCTGTTCCACTGTTCTTGAACTTAAAATTTCCTCCTTTTTGCCTGAATGTGACATCTCAAGCTACCTGCCATGTTAGTTTCAAACACCATACACACATGCAGAAATCACAATATATCTAAGCAAGAACCATTCATAGATAGAGTAGTAACGCAAGTTCACATCACTTAGCAAACTACAATTATTTAGGAATGAGTTAACCAAAAGCAACCGAAAACAAAACAAAGAACCAAAAAACTAAGCCGAGGAAATGGTTCTTGAAAAACATTGCAAAAAAGAAAAACTGATGTGCCTATCATCTTAGTCGTCTCTTTTATACTCGTGTATTCCACTAAGACCGTCATCAGGCTCCTCTCCTCCTTCACTCTCGTCATCTGAATCGTCTGATGAGTTGTCATTCCTGACTGACGCCAGATTACAGTGGTCAAAGCTGACAAAGGATAAGTATCAACGAGAGAGAGAACACTTACCTTTGAGACGCTGCTGGATTTTGCGGACTGATTTTGATAGCTCCAAGAGATCAGCAGAGAGAGAGGGAACCCATTCCCGTTCCTTTCTGCCAGATCCACGGCCTGCCTTTGGATCCATAGTGATTCTGGTAGGACCAATCAATGGACCGTCACCTCGATGAGCTGGCACGATTCTTTGAAAGTTAAGCAGCTGGTGAATGAGATTCGGAAAAGGAAGGACACGATCAACCGGAGCAGGACGCTTGGCTATAGCGAGAATTTGATTGTAGACCAGTTGTCCGAAGTTAAACTCCTTTGCCATCAGAAGTGCGTAGACAAAATGGAGCCTATCTTTCACCATTGTTGTCTTGTTTGTAGTTGGCATCCAGTTCTGACAGCAGATACGATAGAGAACACCACACCTCTTAAAGAGATGACACGAACAGAGACATTCCCAACCGAAACAATAGCATTCCGTGAGTGCTCCAATGACATTGCTGAGATCAGCAGACATCCAGTCGCCTTCAGGACTATCTTCTGGAAGCAAGAACATCCGATTGATGATAGCTGGAGAGAACTCGAACATGTGGCCCCTGACGTAGACATACTTTGAACCGCATTGTGTTTCCAAATCACCAAGATTGGCATAGAATTCCTTGATGATATTGGGACAGTAAGACTCCACATCGAGCACAGTGTACATCATCCCCATGCGAACCAAGAGTTCTTTCACCAGAGACAGCTTCGCATCATCCAAAGGAAAGTAAACAGCACCGTGGAAGGAACGAATATCAAACGACTTGAACCTGGCTGCTGCAGCCTCCGACGAGAAGTCGCCGCATGGAATTTGTTGAGGACGATCCGAGAACCTACTTGACCTTTGCCAGCTGAGGAATTCTTTGCGATTTGCAGAATAGCGAGGTTCTAGATCGAGAAACTCACCAACCCGAGGATTACGAGAATCAACTGGTTCGTCGTCTTCTGAAGTGTGAACAGTAGCCTCTGACTGGGTTGCTTGCGACACGGTGGCAGAGGAATGACTTGAGGAGGAGCCAGCCGGTAGAGGTTTACAGTGTAGTTCCAGTTGATCATCTTCGAGGTCATGGACAATCATCGGAGCCTTTCCAGATCGTCAATTTGGGTTGCGCAGTCGAAGAAGTTCCTCAGCAAGAGTGTTGTTATCATCAGGAAGAGTCCGGCTGACACGAGCAGATTCTACAAGGGCCTGTCGAGCCTTAGATCTCGTGTTGCAAACTGGAAGCATGGCGAGAGATGACGAAGGCGGTCTTAGGGTTTTGCTGAAACAGAGAGGAACACTTCTGTGGCACATGAACGAACATTTTTCGTATATAACCAGCAGCAACCCTAGAATCACAGCTTACTCACACAAAGAAGCCCATTAACAACCAAGAAAAGGGCCAAAGCTCATTAATCGAGTAATTTGCAAACACAAAAGCAAATCCAAAGGTGCAAATATAATGTGTCAAACACTCGAAAGGCATGTAGCAGAGCACACAGTGAAGGGCGCATAGTGAAGACCCCATGTAGCAGAAAAAACACGACACTTATGAGAAAGACACAACCAAACACACAATCTGAACATAGACACACTCGACCCTGTGACAGAAAACAGAGGGAGGAATAATACAGGGCAATAGTAGCAAGTGTGCAAACTCAAGAACCAAAAAGATTTGACACACTTGTAGGCTGAAATATGCAGACATCCCAGCTGAGATACTTTTACACATTCGGTCACTCATCCTAGTGAGACAGGACTCGTTATGACATGACGACTTCTTAGGGTACATAATCTAGATTCTGAGAGGCTTAATATATTTTAGTTTTTTCCTTTTTTTTATTAACTTTGAACCACACACTCCTAGTAG